CCAGGTATATCCTGCCATCCTCGAGTATCCTACCATCCTCCAGTACATCCTATCATCTTCAAGGTCATCCTACCATCCTCAAGTACATCCTATCATCTTCAAATTCATCGTACCATCCTCAAGTACATCTTACGATCCTAAAGTATATCTTATCATCCTCAAATTCATTCTACCATATTTAAGTACATCCTAACATCCTCAATTACATCGTAATATCCTCATGTATATCCTACCCTCCTCAAGTACATCCTACCATCGACAAGTACATCCTAATATCCTCAATTATATCCTACCATCCTCAAGTACATCCTACCATCGACAAGTACATTCTACCATCCTCAGGTACATCCTACCATTCTCAATTACATCCTATTATCCTCAAGTACATTTTACCATCCTCAAGTACATCCTGAAATACTCAAGTACATCATACCATCCTCAAGTACATCCTACCCTCCTCAAGTATATCTTACAATTCTTCATTTCATCTTAGCATCTTCAAGTACATCCTACCATCTTCAAGTACATCCTACCATTATCAACAAGTATACAACCCAGGCCAACATGGATTTCGAGCGGGAAAATCGTGCCTCTCACAGCTACTTGAGCACTACGACAAAGTCACTGAGGCATTAGAAGAAAAACAGAATGCTGATGTGATATACACGGACTTCGCAAAGGCTTTCGATAAATGTAACCATGGCGTGATAGCACACAAAATGAAGTCAATGGGAATAACCTGTAAAGTAGGACGTGGATACTCAGTTTTCTGTCAAACAGGACTCAGCGAGTAACGGTCAACCATATAAAATCTAGTCCAAGTGCAGTTAAAAGCTCTGTACCTCAGGGTACAGTCCTTGCACCGCTGCTTTTCCTTATTCTCATATCAGATATAGACAAAAATACAAGTCACAGCTTTGTATCATCCTTTGCAGATTACACAAAAATCAGTATGAAAATTATCTCGGCTGAAGACACTGAAAAACTTCAAGCTGATATTAATAAAGTTTTCGACTGGGCATCAGAAAATAACATGATGTTTAACAGTGATAAATTCCAGGTACTCAGGTACGGTAAAAATGAGGACTTTAAACATAATACAGAGCACAAAACACAATCAAATGTACCCATAGTAGGAAAACAGCATGTAAAGGATTTGGGAATAATAATGTCTGACGACCTAACGTTTAAGGAGCATAACCAAGCAAATATTGCGACAGCCAGAAAAATGATAGGATGTATTACGAGAACTTTCAAATCTAGGGATCCCATCTCAATGGTTGTACTCTTCAAGTCACTTGTGTTGTCCCGTCTTGAGTACTGCTCAGTACTCACTTCCCCCTTCAGAGCAGGAGAGATTGCTGAAATAGAGGGAATACAGAGAACATATACGGCACGCATAGATGCAATAAAGCACCTAAATTATTGGGATCGTCTCAAAGCCCTCCAAATGTACTTACTAGAAAGAAGACAAGAGAAATATCAATAATATACACCTGGAAGATACTGGAGGGCCAAGTACCAAATCTACACAGTAAAATAACAACGTACTGGAGTGAACGATATGGAAGCAAATGCAGAATAGAACCAGTGAAGAGCAGAGGTGCCATAGGCACAATCAGAGAACACTGTAGGCATACAGTGTAGGCAACATGTAGGCAACATAGGCACACAGAGAACACATCAGAGGTCCGCGGTTGTTCAACGTCCTCCCAGCAAGCATAAGAAATATTGCCGGAACAACCGTGGACATCTTCAAGAGGAAACTAGATTTATTCCTCCAAGGAGTGCCGGACCAACCGGGCTGTGGTGGGTATGTGGGCCTGCGGGCCGCTCCAAGCAACAGTCTAGTGGACCAAACTCTCACAAGTCAAGCCTGGCCTCGGGCCGGGCTTGGAGAGTAGAAGAACTCCCAGAACCCCATCAACCAGGTATCAACCAGGTATATCCTGCCATCCTTGAGTACATCCTACCATCCTCCAGTACATCCTATCATCTTCAAGGTCATCCTACCATCCTCAAGTACATCCTATCATCTTCAAATTCATCCTACCATCCTCAAGTACATCCTACGATCCTAAAGTATATCTCATCATCCTCAAATTCATTCTACCATATTTAAGTACATCCTAACATCCTCAATTACATCGTAATATCCTCATGTATATCCTACCCTCCTCAATTACATCCTACCATCGACAAGTACATCCTAATATCCTCAATTATATCCTACCATCCTCAAGTACATCCTACCATCCTCAATTACATCCTATTATCCTCAAGTACATTTTACCATCCTCAAGTACATCCTGAAATACTCAAGTACATCATACCATCCTCAAGTACATCCTACCCTCCTCAAGTATATCTTACAATCCTTCATTTCATCTTAGCATCTTCAAGTACATCCTACCATCTTCAAGTACATCCTACCATTATCAACAAGTATACAACCCAGGCCAACATGGATTTCGAGCGGGAAAATCGTGCCTCTCACAGCTACTTGAGCACTACGACAAAGTCACTGAGGCATTAGAAGAAAAACAGAATGCTGATGTGATATAAACGGACTTCGCAAAGGCTTTCGATAAATGTGACCATGGCGTGATAGCACACAAAATGAAGTCAATGGGAATAACCTGTAAAGTAGGACGTGGATACTCAATTTTCTGTCAAACAGGACTCAGCGAGTAACGGTCAACCATATAAAATCTAGTCCAAGTGCAGTTAAAAGCTCTGTACCTCAGGGTACAGTCCTTGCACCGCTGCTTTTCCTTATTCTCATATCAGAAATAGACAAAAACACAAGTCACAGCTTTGTATCATCCTTTGCAGATTACACAAAAATCAGTATGAAAATTATCTCGGCTGAAGACACTGAAAAACTTCAAGCTGATATTAATAAAGTTTTCGACTGGGCATCAGAAAATAACATGATGTTTAACAGTGATAAATTCCAGGTACTCAGGTACGGTAAAAATGAGGACTTTAAACATAATACAGAGTACAAAACACAATCAAATGTACCCATACGAGGAAAACAGCATGTAAAGGATTTGGGAATAATAATGTCTGACGACCTAACGTTTAAGGAGCATAACCAAGCAAATATTGCGACAGCCAGAAAAATGATAGGATGGATTACGAGAACTTTCAAATCTAGGGATCCCATCTCAATGGTTGTACTCTTCAAGTCACTTGTGTTGTCCCGTCTTGAGTACTGCTCAGTACTCACTTCCCCCTTCAGAGCAGGAGAGATTGCTGAAATAGAGGGAATACAGAGAACATATACGGCACGCATAGACGCAATAAAGCACCTAATTTATTGGGATCGTATCAAAGCCCTCCAAATGTACTCACTAGAAAGAAGACGAGAGAGATATCAAATAATATACACCTGGAAGATACTGGAGAGCCAAGTACCAAATCTACACAGTAAAATAACAACGTACTGGAGTGAACGATATGGAAGAAAATGCAGAATACAACCAGTGAAGAGCAGAGGTGCCTTAGGCACAATCAGAGTACACTGTATAAACATCAGAGGTCCGCGGTTGTTCAACGTCCTCCCAGCAAGCATTAGAAATATTGCCGGAACAACCGTGGACATCTTCAAGAGGAAACTAGATTTATTCCTCCAAGGAGTGCCGGACCAACCGGGCTGTGGTGGGTATGTGGGCCTGCGGGCCGCTCCAAGCAACAGCCTAGTGGACCAAACTCTCACAAGTCAAGCCTGGCCTCGGGCCGGGCTTGGGGAGTAGAAGAACTCCCAGAACCCCATCAACCAGGTATCAACCAGGTATATCCTGCCATCCTTAAGTATATCATACCATACTCAAGAACATCGTACCATCCTCAAGTTCATCCTGCCATCCTCAAGTACATCCTACCATCCTCAAGTACAAGGAGCCGACCGAGGGAGTCGGTCGGCCGAGCGGACAGCACGCGGGACTTGTGATTCTATGGTCCTGGGTTCGATCCCAGGCGCCGGTGAGAAACAATGGGCAGAGTTTTTTTCACCCTATGCCCCTGTTACCTAGCAGTAAAATAGGTACCTGGGTGTTAGTCAGCTGTCACGGGCTGCTTCCTGGGGGTGGAGGCCTGGTCGAGGACCGGGCCGCGGGACACTAAAAGCCCCGAAATCATCTCAAGGTTACCTACATCCTACCACCATCGACAAGAACATCGTACTATATTCAAGTACATTCTAAAATACTCAAGTACATCCTACCATTCTGTAGTACTTTCAGCCATTCTCAAGTACATCTGTAAATACTCAATTACATCATACCATCCTCAAGTACATCCTACCCTCCTCAAGTATATCTTACCTTTTTCAAGTTCATCCTAGAATCCTCAAATACATCCTAGAATCCTCAAGTACATCCTATCATCTTCAAGTATATCCTAGCATCATCAAGTATACGCCTACCATCCTCAGGTACATCCTACAATACTCATGTACATCCTAAATTTCTCAAGTACATCCTACAATCCTCAAGTACATCCCTCCATATTTAAGTGAATCCTCCCATACTTAACTACATCCTACCAACCTTTAGTACATCCCACATACTTTCTACCATCTTCAAGTACATCCTACCATCCTCAAGTACATCCTACCATCCTCATGTACATCATACACTCTCCAAATACATCCTACCATCCTCAAGTACATCCTACCTTACACAAGTACGTCCTTTCTCAAAATATACTTGAATGTTAAAATGTAATAATTTGACAAATTGAATATAATAACGATGTTTTGAGTACTTTGTCAAGGGTAGAAATGTCCACTTATATATAATAAGCTGACTGAAAAATTCTGTATAATTATTATATTTATATTAAATATGATGTTTTATTTAAATGTCTCCTGTTTGATTTATATTTTTTTTATTTTTTAGGATTTCAGTGCAAATCATGTAATGACATCATGTGTGATCATGTCGCAATACTTGTGTTGATAATGTTGCTGCTGATTATGTTTATCTTGTGTGATGTTGCCAGACACATATGATGTGGTGGTGACCACTGGCAGCTTGGCTGAGAACCATATGCCTGTTCAATCCATCGATGAATTTATCCGGATCTCCAAGCCAGGTGAGAAGCCTTAAACTGTATTCCCAACCCACCCAATAACCATTACATAATACAGTGTCAGAAGTAGATAATAAATAAATAGTTGCAGTACCACAACACTGAGATATCGCTCCTTGTTTGTAATTTTTTATCGCCTTTACGTGACCGTAAGGCGGATAAAGTTCACTGTCCATCTACGGTGTTTCATTAATTTTATGTGAAATGATTGATAACTGTGGATAAATCTTTCATATGCGCCCACTTCACCTCAGGGCTCCCTGAGTGGGTTATACCTCAGGGGCTCCCTGAGTGTGACTAGACACCAGGGCTCACTGATTGGGTTCTAGACATCAGGGCTCATTGAGGGTGGTCACACACCAGGGTTCACTGAGTGGGACTAGACATCAGGGCTCACTGAGTGGGACTAGACATCAGGGCTCACTGAGTGGGACTAGACATCAGGGCTCACTGAGTGGGACTAGACACCAGTGCTCACTGAGTGGGACTAGACACCAGTGCTCACTGAGTGGGACTAGACACCAGTGCTCACTGAGTGGGACTAGACACCAGTGCTCACTGAGTGGGACTAGACACCAGTGCTCACAGAGTGGGACTAGACACCAGTGCTTACTGAGTGGGACTAGACACCAGTGCTCACTGAGTGGGACTAGACACCAGTGCTCACTGAGTGGGACTAGACACCAGTGCTCACTGAGTGGGACTAGACATCAGGGCTCACTGAGTGAGACTACACACCAGTGCTCACTGAGTGGGACTAGACACCAGTGCTCACTGAGTGGGACTAGACACCAGTGCTCACTGAGTGGGACTAGACACCAGTGCTCACTGAGTGGGACTAGACATCAGGGCTCACTGAGTGGGACTAGACATCAAGGTTCACTGAGTGGGACTACACACCAGTGCTCACTGAGTGGGACTACACACCAGTGCTCACTGAGTGGGACTACACACCAGTGCTCACTGAGTGGGACTACACACCAGTGCTCACTGAGTGGGACTACACACCAGTGCTCACTGAGTGGGACTAGACATCAGGATTCACTGAGTGGAACTACACCTCAGGATTCAGTGAGTGCAAACAGACATTAGAGCTCCCTGAGTGGCGCTATTCATCAGGGTTTTTTGTGTGTGTGTGTATGGGACTACACATCAGGGCTCCCTAAGGATGCTTATTGTTACGTGGACCATCATGCTCCGAATATTAACCACTGCACTGTGCAGGGCGCCTTATGGCGCTGGATCGAGGCTGCACAGAGCGCCATAAGGCGATCTTAGGCATATTTTTAGGATTCAAAACTAGCACATGGAATCTTGGGAACGAGATAGAGGCATCAGGCCTCCAGTGAGCCTCCGACATTTTTTTCTATTCCCAGCAAGCCCCACAGCAGTGTGGAGTCTCAGTTTCAAAGTAGCAACCATGTCTGACTCATCAGATATGGAAATACAGGACATATTGTTTGATGATGACCATATCAGTGATACTGAAGACTAAAAAAAAGACCTAACACAGGCGTCGGACACTAGTGATACAGACATTGAACTGGACAATGTGGGAGAGTGTGGGCACAGCCCGGCCTGCCGCACCGAACTGGGTCAACACCAGTGTTGGTACCATCCTCCTAGTAAAGTGCGACTAGAACCGCGCGCACCACCTGCGCAGGTGAGCCCAAAGGGTTCACCTGCACAGGTAGCTAGTCGCACGGTGTTTTGGGGGGTTCCCCGGGTGTTTGGCACGTGTCGGTGCATGGCGTGTGGGTGCACAGGGCCTTTGACCGAGGGTTGTGTTGGAGTGGGGGCGGGAGGCTATGTGGTTGTATGTGGTCATGAAGGGAGAGTAAAGGAAGAGGAGGAGAAAAGGAGAGGAATAGTAGTAGATGAATATGTATGAGTAAGTGCCATAGAGTTAATCCTGTGTGTAGATAGATAGATGGGAGTATGTAGGTTATGTAGAGGAGGGAGGGGCCCCCCTACCTGGCAAGGATATGTTGAGGAGGGAGGAGGTCCCACCCCCCTGAGAGGGCAGGAGATCAGGCTCTTAAGATGGGTAAGGGGTGGGAGAAGTAGGGGAAAGGGAAGGGAACAGGTGGCGGCGGCTTTGACTGATAGCGCGGGTCTCTGTTTTATGTAGTATAAATATTTCTTACCAATTCTTTGCCTGTGGTGGGGGTCTCCAATATCTTCATGTTGCAGTCAAGAGGTGTACACGGATGGAGGTCACAGTAACAAATGAGGGTGTGAATTTACCCATACTGTTTTTGTAATCAGGGTGGGTGGGGCATCCCTCTCCCTCCACTCCCTGACTTTCTAGAGTGGTAAGAAGCAGGACCACATACCGCCACATAGACCTGAGAAGTGTCACCACATGGCACATGGATGAGTGCAGAAGTCAATGTTTTGAACCGTTCTCCTCTTGAAGAGTGAGACGCATCTGCCGGAAATGACAGCAATACGGTGCACCATACTCACTCCTGTCACAGCTCTCTCTGCCACATAGCAGCAGCGGCACATAGGCCATGAGGCAGCCCACATACCTCAATATAGGAGAACTGTACTGGTGTGTGGTCTTTGATGCCCCGCGCGTTAAAGTGGTGTTATATGTCGCACCCTCCCACCACCCCCCTCCCGTGCAGGTGACAGTTATCGATTCCCCACTTCAGATTTTCCCAGGCTGGCATAAACGAGGTAAACACACACACACATATATATATATATATATATATATATATATATATATATATATATATATATATATATATATATATATATTAAATATGACCGAAAAAGTAAGATTAATAATTCTAACACGAATTTTCTCAATCTTTCGTACATTTCTTTTCACTGTTGGAGGTAATTCAAAAATCAATTCTGCAAAATTCATTTTTATTTCTAGTCTGACGCGACACTTGAGCGCGTTTCGTGAAACTTATTACATTTTCAAAGACTTTAGTTAACAAATACACAACTCAATAGAACTTACACATCTCCGATTTTGTTTATATCTACATTTGAGTGAGGTGGATGGGGTGAGGTGGTATTTAATAAGGTATTAATTTCATCAACACAAGCCAGAACATGAAACAATGGGTATTGAATAGAAGTGATTGTAGAAAGCCTATTGGTCCATATTTCTTGATGCTTCTATATTGGAGCAGAGTCTTGAGGTGGGTAGAATAAAGTTGTGCATTAATTGGCTGTTGATTGCTGGTGTTGACTTCTTGATGTGTAATGCCTCGCAAACGTCAAGCCGCCTGCTATCGCTGTATCTATCGATGATTTCTGTGTTGTTTACTAGGATTTCTCTGGCGATGGTTTGGTTGTGGGAAGAGATTATATGTTCCTTAATGGAGCCCTGTTGCTTATGCATCGTTAAACGCCTAGAAAGAGATGTTGTTGTCTTGCCTATATACTGGGTTTTTTGGAGCTTACAGTCCCCAAGAGGGCATTTGAAGGCATAGACGACGTTAGTCTCTTTTAAAGCGTTCTGTTTTGTGTCTGGAGAGTTTCTCATGAGTAGGCTGGCCGTTTTTCTGGTTTTATAGTAAATCGTCAGTTGTATCCTCTGATTTTTGTCTGTAGGGATAACGTTTCTATTAACAATATCTTTCAGGACCCTTTCCTCCGTTTTATGAGCTGTGGAAAAGAAGTTCCTGTAAAATAGTCTAATAGGGGGTATAGGTGTTGTGTTAGTTGTCTCTTCAGAGGTTGCATGGCGTTTCACTTTCCTTCTTATGATGTCTTCGACGAAACCATTGGAGAAGCCGTTGTTGACTAGGACCTGCCTTACCCTACAGAGTTCTTCGTCGACTTGCTTCCATTCTGAGCTGTGGCTGAGAGCACGGTCGACATATGCGTTAACAACACTCCTCTTGTACCTATCTGGGCAGTCGCTTTTGGCATCTAGGCACATTCCTATGTTCGTTTCCTTAGTGTAGACTGCAGTGTGGAAACCTCCGCTCTTTTCCATGACTGTTACATCTAGAAAGGGCAGCTTCCCATCCTTTTCCATCTCGTAAGTGAAACGCAGCACGGAACTCCGCTCAAATGCCTCCTTCAACTCCTGCAGATGTCTGACATCAGGTACCTGTGTAAAAATGTCGTCAACATACCTGCAGTATATGGCCGGTTTCATGTTCATGTCGACTAAGACTTTTTGCTCGATGGTACCCATGTAGAAGTTTGCAAACAGGACACCTAGGGGAGAACCCATGGCGACCCCATCTACTTGCTTATACATGTGCCCATCCGGGCTCAAGAAGAGTGCCTCTTTAGTACAAGCTTGGAGTAGTTTCCTTAGGATATTTTCTGGTATGTCAAGAGGAGTACATGCTGGATCACGATACACTCTGTCGGCTATCATCCCGATTGTCTCGTCCACTGGTACGTTAGTGAACAGCGATTCTACGTCCAACGAGGCTCTTATCCCTGTGGCCCGTGTGCCCCACAGTAAGTCAACAAATTCCTTTGGAGACTTCAGGCTGAAAGCGCAAGGAACATAAGGAGTCAGCAGGCCGTTAAGTCGCTTCGCCAGTCTGTACGTGGGTGTGGGTATCTGGCTAATGATTGGCCGAAGTGGGTTTCCAGGCTTGTGTGTCTTGACATTTCCATACGCATATCCAGGTTTATATTCCCCAATGATCTTTGGCAGGTGGAGTCCGGATTTCTTGGCGTTCACAGTTTCGATTAGTTTGTTGACCTTTGCTTTCAATTCGGCTGTAGTGTCCTTCGTTACCCTTTGGAACTTAGTTTGGTCAGAGAGTATGACGTTCATTTTCGCCAGATATTCGTCTTTTTTAAGAATGACATATATTGGCGACTTGTCACCTCTCCTGACAACTATCTCCTTGTTCTCACGAAGGCTTTTAGCTGCCGCTTTGAGCTCGGGGGACAGTATGGTGCTTCTGTAATTGCCTCGATTCTTTCCTCCTTCTGCAATAAGTTCTGCTTGTAAGGTATCTTTGGTAGTGACCTTCTTTTGTGTCTCGAGGTTGAATATGTCGTCC